AGGGAGAGAACGAACCCCCTGGCCACTTCGAGGTGAAGCGGCTTAAGGAGGGGGTGATGTCAGGGCACACCCGCCTGACCCGGCTCCACCCACCCTGACCCAGTACCCCACTCACCTCTACTCCCCACCCTTCATCACGATTCCTCAACTCCTGTTCTTCTTTCTATCCTTTTGTTCTTTTATTCCTTTGTTCTTTCTCCTATCTTTATCTACACAGACAACCTTTCCCCATACCTACATATGTATTATTGACCTGCCCACGATGCGCGCATGACACACCCAGCCCCGGACGACCCGGATGGCCTACGGTGCAACCCAGCTCGCGCGCATGCTGCACATGCCCTCGGGATCCCCCATGGGGACACCCAGATGACTGCGGCTGTATGCGGGGTGATGTGGCAAACCTCATGTGACCCAAGCCGCATGTACATAAAGGTACCTGGGGTGGGAACCGAAGAAGTAACCTTCTTCTCACAGTTCCCACTTCAGGTAAGTAGCATAGCCTCCCCTTTTAATAACAACTCACAGTTCCCACTTCAGTCTGAGTGGCCAGGGACCATTGTCCCAGATCAGGCCCGCCAGTACGCATGCCCGCTCCACACCCTGTGACGGCCTCAGTGCCAGGCATTACCCCTGGGCCCTCTTGACCCCGGACATGTCCCTGACAGTCAAATAACCACTGCTTTGGAAAATCTTGATTTAGAGTTGATCTGAAAGAGTTCATTGTTACATAACTATTTAGTAGATAATGAAAGCAATGGCGAAGCAGCAAATGGCAATGGAGAGAGAAAAAGGGAAGTTATGTCACATACAAATCAAGTCATAAGGAAATAATGGATTTTGAGAGAAATGTCGTCAGTGTTGTTGATGACGATGGTGACGACGCATCCGGAGACATTGCCGGAAGGGCATGTGACAGTGAGCTCCAAAGAAGTCGCGGCATAGGGGAGTTTTCCGGGTTTTCAGGTCACGGTACCCCGGAGCTTCTCCAGGCATTTGCAACTTGGTACTAGTTTTTCACCTCAGTGCACTGGTGTTAGATTGGGTGGATTCAGACGACTCCAGAGTGGAATCAGAGACTTAGTGTGGAAGGACCTTGGCCTCAGCGACTCATGTGGAGCGCTGTGCCATTGCTGGTTGTCCTAGGGGTCCCTAATTTCGGATCTAGCAGAGAGGAAGTCTCTTGGGGGGGAATCAAGTTGATTTCGGACTGAGGTTACAAGTTACTATGTACATTGTATATAAGGAGGGGTCCGGAATCAAAAGGAGCAAGGGTACTCTGAAAGCAGACAAAGGGAGCTGGAAGGAGGAACAACACCGAGGGTCAAGTGTTTGACTCAATGGTGTTTCCCAAAGGAGGAGTGAAGGGCCAAGGCCCAAGGAGGAAGGAAGGAGGATGGGAGTGGGGAATGGCCAGCTGACTGAATAGAAAGGAAGCAGCAGCCCAAATAGGAATGAGGGAGAATAGCGGAATTGAATGGAGCAATGCAATAGTTGCAAGGTCCGACGTAAGTCCGGAAAGTCCGAACTCAGAAGTTAAACTCCGGAATATTGGCAAACATAATTAAATGGAATGAGCTAACCAATACAATGGGTATAAGCGGAGGTGGGGTCAAAGTCCGAGGTCAGAGCTAAGACCGGAGGTTCTGGAGCGGAGGTCTGGAGTCGGGAGCATAGGTGTTGCGTGCTTGTCTGGGAGGTGTCGAGGTTGAGGTCGGACCTGGAATGTTCCAGAGTCGGACCGAAGGTGGTGTTGGAGCCGGAGGTGGGGTAACCTCTTGGAAGTCGGCAAGGAGGAGGTGACGGTGCAAGAGGGCTAGCGGCTCTCTATGCCGACTAAGCTCGTGGGGCCAAACTCTCCAAATCCTACTTTCTTTACTAAACTCGCTATGCTCTCGATCCTAAAACTCCGCGGTGGGTTCTCCGGGATTTCCGCAAGGTCCGGGCTCAGTGTCCACTACTCACTCGTTGTGAGCTAGATCACTGCCCTTATTCCTACTGTTGGAATTCCACACACTCACTCCAACTCTAGCGCGTCCTAGCACCTTAGAGAAAATTGGGGGAGGGGAGAACTTCTATTCCAAAATCCGGTATGTACAGGATTATAAGAAATAATTATTTTTAGAAATAATAGATGGGGAATATTGGTACCATATGGCACCTGGATACCTTATTAGGCGAAATAATAGAAAAGGGTAACAGTAACAATAAAAGGATATCAATCAATATCTGAAATGATGGCAAAATATGAAAATAAAAGAAAATAAGCGATTTCTCAATGGATTTACGGAATTAAAGGCCAAAATTGGAAATGAAGCCGGAGATAACTCTCACGCAGCCAATAAGCATTTTTACCAATTTATTAGATGCCGTGGGAACGAGTGAGGCTGGAATTCTGGGTTGCCGCTTGAGATTCCCACGCCCGCACATGCCCGTGCCTAACTTGCCCAACATAGAACTCCGTCAAATCTCCACCGATTGGGACGTTCTTGGTATCGTCAGAATTGTACGAATTAGGACTATTTTTGGATACCAAATTTGTACCGAGTCGTCGCGTGAATGAAAGTTGTTTTCTGATCGTGGAAGTGGGTATCCGAGCCGAGTCTGTGCGTGGGCGATTATCCCGCCTACAATGGAAGGGGTGATGTTTGGTCCGAGATGAGTATCAGAGCGGACGGAGATAGGGTAGGAGAAGGATGGGAGGGTGGAGGTGGCAGAAGGGAAGTAGGACTCTGGAAGTCAGGTTCAGAGTTCCGGGAGCCCAGAGTGGAGGTCAGGATTGCACGGATATGACAACTGGTGCAAGTGTCGAAATTGTATCCGGTGCAACTACTGGACTTATCTGGAGCTCCAATTCAAATGGCTTCAAATCCAGGTCACATGGCAAGGACATAAAATCATGGACAAGCCTGGTATCGAACCCAGGACCTCTAGCATGCATCCATACACTACTCACCCTTGAGCCATGCCGGTATAGGCTGTTAAACTCTATACTATTGGGAACATATTATATTCTCCAACAGCGAGAGTGTGTGCACCCAAAGGGCAAATACCTTACATCAGGTGGGGTACCTTGTAGTACCATATTACTGTGTCCCCGTGACGAGTAATAGGTGTTCGGGCAACAAGCAAGGGCGGAACAAAAAAAACGGATCACGTGACAACTAAGCCGAAGGGGGGGGGAAGAGCTGTATTGAATTCAATCCCTCTGTAATGGTCACGCGATCATCACAGCCACCAAGTCCAAACCCATGGCGGAAGATCACCAAGCGCTTATGAACGGTGACGAGGAGACCTCAAGGGAGAGCCCTTCAAGGCTCGTAGTGTAAGTGGTTTTGGGACGCCTTATCTATTATCTTATCTCTGTCTCTAGTCGCTCGCACTACACATTGACCAGAGGAGAAGTGACAAGGTCCTTCGCCAATCGCCTCTTACATTCCCATGCATACATATTCTTTTATTTGTGTATGACGGCCCTATCCATAACTACTGTGGTTCTGAGTCTGGTTCGTGGATGCCCTGGAACTGCGTTCTTTGTGTTGGAGTTTATTATAAACACCGCCATGATAATTGAAGTCATTACACGAGTATTGGCTCTTTCGAAGGTGCGGCTTGGATGGATTATGCTCGCGCCACACAAATTCCTTATCTTCCTTCAAGCTATTCTGGACTTCGGTATTCAACTGGCTCGATATAGCTATGACTTTGTTCTGCTTCGTAACTCTCATTGTCATCCTTTCGACACCTTGCGCAAGCAAAGAAGAAGAAGTTTTCGACACTTTGCTTCTCGCCGCACGTAACATCGTTCAGTTCTGGAGACTTGCAGCGATAATGAAAAAGTCAGTCTTATTGGGCGGCGTGTTTAGGGAGCGGTTCTCACTTGCATTTTGTGAAGATCCGGGACAAGCATATTCGCGCGACCGAAACCCATTGATTTGTCTCGCTCCCGTGCAATGGACATCGACCTTGATGATGATGAATTGGGGTCACCATCCAATGCAGGCTACGTCGCCCTCCCCCCTCAAGAGATAATATTTGATTCCAGACAGGAGCGACAAGAGCTCCTAAAACCTTCCTCAGCACCTGTACCTGCACCACCGGAAGGCGAGGAAGATACGTGGGCGAACCTCGGATAACCAGCATTTTCCGCCTAGAACCCTCCACATACTGTCATTTTTCAGTCATTGTATAGTTTAAATGATTCGAAGCTCTTTCCACTGGCGTGTCGTTGAGAGTCGTGATTGAATTACACTCCAATCCGCTTCCGGCTTTCTCTCTCCCGCACCATCGACACTCGGCGCTTCCGGTCGGGGCGAGAATACCGTTCTGTAGTGTAAAGGTCTAAAATAGATCTACGTCACGGTAGCTATGAACATCCTAAAGCGACGCGGGTTAACTCGTTCAATGTGCATCACTGGCTGGACTTTTCGCAGGAGAACCTGTGTGCACTTCACTGACTTTTTGGGTGGTTTCCGATGATTTATCAATAATCTTTGTTTACTCAGTGATAATGCACAGGATATTACATTACTAGAGTGCGTGCTTTGCATCGCGGTCACCTGCACAGCACCCATTAATGAATGAAATCAGAGATTGTAACCTGCGCAAGACGCATATGGTACAACGAAGTATAGTAAGAAGATTGAGTAGCTTACAGAGAACGCGCTTGGACAGAGAAGCAGAAAGAGATGCCATTTCATCGTCTCCCAAGTAGCCTATACCAATGAGTTTGAAAGCAACCCTTTTCAGATTGGACCCCGTTTCAGTGAACCTCTCCAATACGCATTGAGCGATGACGGGTTTTAGATCGTAAATGTAAGCAAAATTTTTGTCCTGCTGGGATTTGTAAGAACCGAGAGGTTTGGCGTCGTATATGTTCTTGAATGGACCCTCCTAGGAGAATGAATGAGGCACAAAATTATGTAATGTCAAGGAAGGAATAAAGTACTTCACCAGCGCTCTCTTGTTTTTTGTTTTGTATTCCTAATCTCTGCTTCCTGCCCCTCAATCAAGACCAAATGTGACTTCCCATTGCCAAGCATTGAACGTTAGAGATGGTGTTTCCCTCTTTCTCGCCAACGTCACACACAATAAACTCTTACGCCAGGTGCTGTATCACTTCAATGTTCCCTTCAATCCAAAGGCCATTCTGTCCTCTTTGTGTCGCTCATTTCTACTCTACTTCACTCCTCCTCTACTGCGGCTCATTCTATAATGGTACGCACAGTGCGCCGCGGTTGGCCGGCGACAGCAGTAAAAAATAAACGATAAAGAAATTTCGCGTCATCATCCTCTTCTTCTCTCCCCAGTGTGTGTGGAGGTCGTTTTGCTCTCAGTACCATGCTACACTCCCCGATTTCTGAGAAGACAATTGGGAGATTTGCGAGACTGAATGAATGGCGGGAAGGTGGCGTCCACCAGCTATAAACATGTAATCAACATGAGGTCATGCAACTCAGAAAGGAAATACAAACACGTAAGCAAAAAGTGGGACAAAAAACGTAATTACGGGAGGGAGTGACACTGCTGTGCAGGTAATGTAAGGGCTGTGACGTCAAATGATAATCAAACAATGCGGGAGTAGAAGGGCAATTGCCGGTATAATTCCACGTGCGGCATGAAAACTAAATTTACTTCTTTGGTCGTTTCTTGATCTCCTCATCCTTACAAGCGTGTAGAAAGATCTGGTTGGGATGGTTTGCAACCATACCACTGTAGCCCTTGTACCAATCGTAGGCGACGGCATAAGCAAAAATGGTTCCTGAGCGATCAAAAGAGGAAGAAACCT